CACAGCTGTTGTCAGCAACCAGGCAACCCTGCCAAGATTCTGTGGTGTATCTTTATGTCTTTGAAACTATTTTGAAAGACGTATTTAGAAATTGTTATGTGCTGTGAACAGACTGCCTTACTCTCTCTCTCTCTCTCTCTCTCTCTCCTCCCCCCCACAAATCTTCAGACCTGGTACTGTGGCGCTGCGTGAGATTCGCCGTTACCAAAAGTCAACAGAACTTTTGATTCGTAAGCTTCCATTTCAGAGGCTCGTAAGGGAGATTGCTCAAGATTTCAAGACAGACTTAAGGTTCCAGAGTGCAGCCATTGGTGCACTGCAGGTATGAACCTATTCAAGTACTACGGTACGATTTTATGTGGGGAAAGGAATAATGTGTCCTTATAGGTTAATGTCTAACCAATAGCTTGTTTTTTAATCTTTCACAGGAGGCTAGTGAAGCTTATTTGGTGGGTCTGTTTGAAGACACAAATCTCTGTGCCATCCATGCCAAGAGAGTTACCATTATGCCCAAAGACATCCAGTTGGCTCGTAGGATACGGGGCGAGAGGGCTTAAAAGGAAGCAGTTTTTATGGTGTTTTGTAGTAAATTCTGTAAAATACTTTGGTTTCAATTTGTGACTTTTTTTTGTATGAAATTGTTTATAATATGTTACATTTGTACTTAAGTCATTCCATCTTTCACTCAGGATGAATGCTAACAGTGACTGTTCACATAAAACTCAGTGATGTGAGCCCTGTTGCTCAATAGTGACAAGTTGCTAATATGCAGAAGGGATGGGTGATCTTTCTTGCTTTTCATGCATGTTTCTGTATGTTAATGACTTGTTGGGTAGCTAAAATTGTAAGGTACTAGAATTGATATAAATGTGTACAGGGTCCTTTTGCAATAAAACTGGTTATAACTTGATTCAAGTGTTTAACAATTGGGACTGTTAAGTCTGACCATACATCACTGTGACAGAATGTGGACTTTCTAAAGGGGTAAAGAACAAGTCTTAACCACAGTGTAACTTGCAGTTTCCTAAAAAAAAAAGTAAATCTGGCAGCTATAGAATACACTATGTGCATTTATAATAGCTATTTTATATATTGTAGTGTCAACATTTTTAAATTAAATGTTTTACATTCACATGAGTCCTGTCATTGTTGTGGGAAAAGTAGCTTTTCTACTTGGGTTTATGCTTAAATCAAGTTGAAGCATGTTTATGCTTTGTATTTATCCCCAATTGAAGTATTAGCTTGCAGCAATTATATAACAAGTCAGTGAATAGTCTTTCTGATTTTGATTCTTATGTTTGCAGAATAATTTATAAACTAGGAAATGCTACTCAGTTTCTTAGAAACTATTTCAGCCTTGTTTCTAGACTAATTAGGTGACTCGTTTAAATGAAACTAGACAAGAACAGTCCAGCTTTCTGTGCTGCCTCTTTAAAAAAAGCTGTTCCAAGTATTACAACCCTTTGTTTGAGAATATAAATGTACAGATTGTTTTAGGATTATGTCTTGTTAGATGACCTATAATGAGTATTTTAAATTTTTTAAAAAAATGTAAAGTTGCCTGCTGAGAAACTGTTCAGTTATTTGATTTGTTTTATCAAACTGGTTTTGCTTTCAGTATAGATACGCTACCTTATGCAAACAATCTTATTGCTTCAGCTTGATTTTATTCCATTCTGAAAATTGGCAATGTAAACATTTTAAAAAAGCAGTTGAGTCTTCTGTTTGATTTATCTAGAACAATTGTATCTGGACAGAATTTTAATCTATACAAAGTGACTCCATAATCCAAGAGTTGACCCATCAAGATATCACTGATTGATATTAGACTTAAGCAGCCCAATGAGGCTCCAAAGTAGATAGAAGCCCAGCGGCAGAACATCACATCTGTCAGACAAACCACTCTGTATGTTTAAATCCAGCAGCTAAAGAAACAAACAACAATTGGTCATGTCTTGAATTATTTTTTGGACATATTAAAAATAGCTTACTGCTATATTCATAAATACCTTCGTGCTAGATGTGTAGTTGCTAGCATTGTTTACAAACTCTATCTAAAGAACATTTTGGATTTTAGTTCTAGGAATGTTTAGTCCAACAATTAAACAAATTGCTACAAGTTTGTAAAACTTCAGACATCAAATATTATAGGAACACATGTTAATATGCTGCCTTGGTCTACTTTATATCACACCGTTATACAGGTATCTGAAATGTAAGAATTGATTAATTTAAAAGCTTAACCAAAGTGATCATATCAAAGAACTATTAACTTTATGCTGTATATACTTGGGACATAATTGGGTTGCCTTAGCAGGATTTCATTAATGCAACAGGACTCTGATTAATACAACAGCTCATCCCAACCTATGTATTCTGGAGAATGCCTAAAGGAAGAAAGTTGCAGAAGAGGTAAAGCTGTGAAGTATAGAGTAATACACGTTAACAAAATACAATAGCCTTTACTACAACACACATTCCAAACCTTATTCCTTACCAATCCGTTTGATAATTTCCTCACTTTCCTCTTCAGAATTTGATTCAAAAACTAGGCAATCAAAAGTGCTATCATCTGGAGAGTCAGGTGAAGCTCTATAAAATAAAGATGGTAAGTTTAGACATCCAAAACATTTAAGATAGTATATGACTAATTGCCTGTACATAATAGCATTACTCTAATTGGGTCTATGGGATGCAGTGGCTAAGATGCTGAGCTTGATGATCAGAAAAGTTGGCGGTTTGAATTCCTAGTGCCGCATAATGGAGTGAGATGCTGTTACTTATCCCAGCTTTTGCCAACCTAGCAGTTCGAAAGCATGTAAAAATGCAAGTAGAAAAATAGGGACCACCTTTGATGGGAAGGTAACGGCGCTCCGTACGCCTTCAGCATTTAGTCATGCCAGCCACATGATCACACGGAGACGTCTTGACAGTGCTGGCTCTTTGGCTTTGAAACGGAGATAAGCACTGCCCCCTAGAGTTGGGAATGTCTAGCACATATGTGCGAAGGGAACCTTTACCTTTAATGGGTCTAAATGATAAACCAGGCTATCAGGTAACCTAATACATCTTGGATATGAGCTAGTTTATCAACAATCCAATGTATTCAAGGTAACATTCTATGTGGAAGGGAACATTTAAACACAAAAAGGAACTGGTAGAATATGTGCTAAACAGGTAATTGGCATGATTCACAAAGTCCAATAAGGAAATCCTTAAGATTCCTATATTAGTAAAGAACACACTGACATATTTGAATGTAATTGATGGATACACCCTACACTAAAAATTACTACTACTGCTATGACTATTACCAATACTACATGGTGAATGGGACTGGTAAATATAGTCTTGCAATATGTCATCGCATGTAGATGGTTTTTCACAATAAAACTTACAAGCTACAGAAAGCAAAGAGATTGTGGTTATCCAGACGGCGTCCCACACAGGAAATGTCTGTATAAGAATAACGGAAAAGAACCTGAAAATGGCAACAATTTGCAGTTAAGGCATTGGTCAAAGCTCCTTTTTTTGGAATTATTTTTTATTGAATGTCAATCAAGACAAAATAAAGATTAGATCTACAATTAAAAAAATAACCATCCTTAGAAACATTTCCAGTCTCTATTTTAAGCATGCATTGCCCAGATTATAAAAAGTAAAGACAATAAATTATTAAGAAGACATGATCAAGCACAGCCAGCAAACAAACATTCTAACCTTTGATGTTGTTTTGTGTTGAACAATTACTTCAGTTTCTTTGACGTCGAATAAAATTTCCTGAAGAAATAAAATTACAACTGTTAATAATGCTATTACATGACAAAGCATCCCTAAAAGAAACTTAAAATTGGACCTGCTATGTTTCCAATTTTCTTTTCCTGTTTCCTCCTTCCACCCAGACAATATTGCAACATAGCTCCAACTGAATCACTTTACAGATCAGTGAATTTACCACTTTAAGAGCTAACACAATAATTTCTGCAGTCATCTGAAAAAACAATGAAAACCAACCCTTTGAAAGTTTCATTAATGTAGCAGCATGACTTTTAAACAGTTCTACCTATATGCATTGATCATATTCCTGCCTATTTCTAAGATGGCAGAGCAAGAATTGAATGTGTTGACTTGATATCTAGATCTTTAAAAACCCACACGAGCAAGTGAGCTATAATATTTGGGTGAGACAAGCTGAACAAGCCTGTCCAGTTTAACACTGACCGCCAAAGTCAGCCATCACTTAAATTACAGGCAATTTTGCATCTTCCTTAAGATGTTTTGGGTATAGTTTTCACCACTGATAAACACTGGCTGGGATAATATAAACATATTCTACTTATTACAGTTCTGCATTTCTTTCCGATAGCTGAAAATTCTTCCAAGATTTTATATATTTGATGGATTTTGCTGGGTAGCATTGCCAGAATGACCTAGATTTATATTCCTTAAGCTGTTCAAAACCAGGGGGGAAACGGGATACTGAACTAAAACAGAGGGACAGGTAGTCTTCAACTTGTGATGGGTCACTTAGCAACTATTTCAAATCATGACAGATTCCCCCCTCCTTCCAGAAAGTACTTACAACCCAGTTCTAAAGTTTTAATGGCAGCCCCCCCGCACATGACTACATTTTGAATGCTTGGCAACTGGCCTACATTTATAGCTGTTTGCAGCGTCCCATGGTCACAAAACCACAATTGACAACATTTTTTGCCAAAAACTGCTGTTTACTTCTAATTTGGGGGGAAAACAAGGGATTTATTTAACAACCATGACATTTGCTTTATGACTGCAACATTTGCTTTAGGATTGAGGCATTCACTTTATGACCACTGCACTTATTCGCTCAATGACCACTACAAAAAGAAAAAGTCCCAAAGGTGCTTTTTTCAAGAGGCAACCGGACTTTCTGGTTTTTCTTTGAAGACGTTTTGCTTCTTATCCAAGAAACTTCTCCAGAACTGGATGAAAAGTCCAGTTGCCTTTTGATAAAGCACTTTTGGGACAACCATGACCTGGATAACTGAGACTCTCCATAGACACCACAAAAAAGGTTGCAAAATGGAGTTTGGTCACATGATGATTCATCATGTGCAGGCACCATGATACAGGCACCATTATAGTTGTGATTTGAGGGCTACCGGTATGTAAAACATTCCATGCTTGTACTACCATTGACCAGTCAGGACTGAGCAGTCTGTTCCCAGACTCAAGCCCAGATGTTTTCTCCAGGCATGGACCTGATACTTGCACATTCTGGAAGATGTGTGTTCAGGGATGAGAAGCAGCAGGAGAGGAGAAATACAGTGCTGGGAAGATAATGGAAAAATCAAAGAGAGGGACAAAGTGCATAGCAAAGAAGATTTAGGTGAAGATGGGGAGAGGGGCAGGTGGGTATGCTGCATGAAGCAAACTACTTGTCCGGACAAAAACCCCTTTTATAAATTTATTGTGAATTCTTCTCATTCACATCCAACAAAGCCTTTCATGGGAGGAATTACAGTCACAGACCTTATCTGGCGTGGAGAGCTGATAGGCCGATATCTGCAAAACTTGGCAAGGAGTCTTGGAGAGTCACGAACCAATTAAGCAAACTAATTGACTCCTGCAACCTCCACTCTCTTTTCGCTCCTCTTTTATTTCCTCTGGGAGACGCCATTCATTGTCCACCTGTGGCCTTACACCCAAGTCAACCCCTGTTCTTTAGCTGTTCCCTTTGTCTGGCAACTCTGCACATGTGCCCACTGGGAACAGGTTCCAGCTGTTCGTCTGCCTCACTGATATCTGACTCTGAAGGGAGCTGATAACTGGCATATGGCTCTGGCCCCCTCTCTGCCTCCAACACAGAGCCCTCATCAGAGCTTTCCCCAGACTCCAGGACTGGCCCATGTTCCTCTCCAACCACCTCACTGTCCAAATCTGCTGCCAGCTCTGCTGGCTGCTAGCAGGCCACAACAGGATTCAAATATGGCAGCAGCTACATGGTTACAAAGGGAAGGAAGAAATTGGAAAGATCAGCAGGTAGGATGTGGCATAGCTTTGCAGGAGAAGAGAGGAGAGGGACATCAGGTTTCTCCTACTCCAGTGATGGGATTCAGCTGGTTCGCACCTATTTGGGAGAACCGGTTGTTGGAAGAAATCTCCTCCCCCCCACCCACTTTACAGGGCTAATTCTGTAAGGAAGGAAGGAACATTCTGGTGGTGTTTCTAGCCTAATCTTTATTGTGCTACTTACAGAAACCACCTCTCCAGTTAACCCTTATCACATTGTCACAGCTAAGGCAAAGCGCCTATCAACCTGAGTGACGTTGAGTTGGCCACACCCACCCAGTCACATGACCACCAAACCCTGCCTACCCAGTTGGTCATCAGGGCAGAGAACCGGTTGTTAAATTATTTGAATCCCATCACTGTCCTATTCATAAGAGTTTTTTTCCCCCGGGAAAAGTATGGAAAACTGAAGACAGCTCTGCAAACGTAGAATGGATGATCATGGCAAAGACCAAGCAATCTGTGTCTAGACTGGTTCCTTGGAACCTCTTCCTCCGGGTAAAGAGAAGATGAGCAATATCCTGTGTTCCAGATGGCTGTTCCCTGCATGGGGATCACAGGCCAACAGTTTTCTGTGGGTTTGAGAACTGGGAGATGAGGGGATTAGCCATCTTGCTTGCAACCATGTCAGAGGCCTTTAAACCCCATGAGGGGTAAACCAAGTAAGAATCACAACCTGATGAGCTAATTCTATTTTATTGCACAAGTGGTCCTCAACTTATGATGTTTCATTCAGCGACTGTTTGAAATTATGTCATTGCTGAATGAAAGGAACTTATGACACCTGCCCAAAGTTATGACCACTATAGCAATCCCACAGTCACATGAATGAAATTTGGGCACTTGCCAATGTGCTCACCCTTATTAACTGATGCCTGAGACGCCCACTTGGTCCCACACCCTCCTCTCTACCCTTCAACACAGCTCAGTTATTTGCCTTTTCCATAGATCTCCTATGGAGATCCTGTTTGGAAAGGAGATCCGACTGCTCTGCCCGTTGGCCTCTATATAAAGTAGGGAGGCCCGGAGGTCATCTAGTCCAACCGCCTGCTCATGACACCATCCTGGGATCAGCCACCAGTTCAGAGCAGGCGCAATTCATTGTGGCCAGCCCCAAAATGGTGCCTACTTCTGGGATGGTGCCACGCAGCCTCTGTGTTGAAAGTCCACACTGCTGAGTGGCTGCTTCCAGAAGATCTACAGAAAAAGTGACTGAGGAGGGTGAGGAGAAGGGTGTGGAACCCAGCAGTGTGGCAAAGCAGGCCCAAGGCCTGTCGCAACTGCAGAAAGCATAGCATGGGGTTCCTTGGGGGTTGAAGGCCTGGGGGGCCTGGGGCAGGCCATATGTGAGCTGGGTAGGTGCTGTAGTGTGAGCTTGGGCCTGTGATAGGTCACCCAGAGCCTTCCCCATCCCTGAGGCATCCTATACTCTACTAATGACCACAACAGAGATAGCAGGGATTGGGGTCATTAAGCAAGAATCACATGATTAAGTTTCAACATAACATGCGACTGTAATGGACAGGCTCTTATGGTCATGCATCAAGGAATTTTGCAAGCCTGAACATATAATCCTCTCCCCCATCTCCTTTACAGCCCAATATACTGAGGAAGGGTCTCTTCTGAGGCTCTTGCCCCACCCATTATCCAGTTGCAGGCTATGCTGACTCTTATCTGACTCTTGCCTTGGCAGCATCTCTTGGCACGTTTTCCAAAGGTCTTTTCCACATACTTTCACGTCACCCTGCCTTCAGACTTGCCTTTTAATTTCGCAAGTTCACAGGGGATTGTGAGAATGAAACGCAGCTGCGTCGCTCCCCATTTCTGCTGGTAATTCCCAACAGTTCACATGAGGTCTCCGAGAACTTGGTTGTGCTTATAGAGGTGATTGCTATCCCTCTGCAGGGAATCTATTGTACTCCCCCTCTCATGCCTGGCATGCCTGATGTGGAAAGAGCTGTATCATTTCCCTACTTGGTCATTCATTCATATTTCACACTTCTTAATTGGCCATCCCCCTCCCTTCCTTTTGCTCTCCCTGAAGCAACCACCATCTCAGAATCTACTGTTCATCTTGATTAGCGGCCAACTCCTTCAAGGCCAGTAGTTGTGAAGAATAGTATTTGTCAGAGAATTGGTAATGAAAGTAGGGCACCAATTGAGGCACCTCCATGTCCACTGTTGCCTCCCATCATTTCTGGATGTGAATATACATGTAATATGAAGGCCTGGCAAGAGAGGATGAAGTATGGGGGTCACCTTAATCCACTATGACAGTGGTGAAATTCAATTTTTTTTACTACTGGTTCCATGGGCGTGACATGGTGGGTGTGGTGCGGCTTGGTGGGCGTGACTTGGTGAGCTTGGCAAGGGAAGGATACTGCAAAATCTCAATTCCCACCCCACTCTGGGGCCAGCCAGAGATGGTATTTGCCGGTTCTCCGAACTACTCAAAATTTCCACTACCAGTTCTCCAGAACTTGCTGGATTTCACCCTTGACTATAACTTTCATTCTTTTCTTTTTTTTAAAGATACATGGGAGAAAACAATGGGCTTTTACGACCTGTCATCTGCAGAATAGAAACAAGCAATGATATAGATTTTCCCTTTACTGTAACAAATCTGTTCCAAAAAATGAAGGTCTGGAGTCAATTGGAAAGGTATGGATGATCAAGGGGAAATTCACTTGCATGAAGATGAGTTGCTAAATGTATTAAGTTGAACTCACCATCATGCAACCGAATAAAATCCGTAACTGAGCTTCAGTAAGATCAGCTTCTCTACAAGCTTACGTATTTTCATGCCTTGGTGGAATACTAAATGAAAGAAAAATGGTCATTGAGGTGTTCAGTCAGTAAATGTGTTGCTAAATGGGTATTTGTCTAGCTCTGCCTCAAACGGTGGACTTCTACTAGTTCTAATCTAGAAAATTCTGATACTTGATTTATTTCTCATACATGATTTAATGGCACTTCTCAAGGCATTTCCTATTAAAAACAAAAGTTCAGCCACGTTCTGCCTTTAACTTAAGAGACCTAAGGGAGGGATTTTTCTTTACAGAATTTGTTACACAGAACATGTTTTTATCTAAAATATAAGCCTTGTCACCTGTGGTGTTTTCTCATTTCAAATAGCCCTAGCATCTAAATCCCTATTGACTTTATTAATTAAATTATCAAGATTGCCATCACAATGGGCGGTAGTGTTCAAGATTCAATCTGCTTCTTTGTTTAAAAAGCATAACTTAAAATAATGATTTAAGAGGGGGAAAAAGTAGTTTGATAAACATTCATTTCTTATTCCCAGCATGAATCTTACCTGCTGCGGTAAATGCTTATCTAACACCATGGGTATGCCTACGTCTAATATATCTTTGCCTCCATACTGGAAAAGAAACCAAGAGATGAACAAAATGTGAGAAAAATGCAGACCTAAAAGCAGGATTGAAAACTGAACAACCCCCCTTTTCTCTTTAGAAACATTGTCTCACCTTTCCTACATTGGCCTGACCTAAGTACCGCAGATTGTACAAGAGTCTATGGAGAAATGAGATTAAACAATTAGTTCAAAGAATCTATGCACAGATCCTTTATTTTCACATCAAGATGCAGCTTGTGAAAAAAATTCCAAAAGCAAACTGAAGTTGCCTTCATTGAAGTTTAGGACTGAAGAGCTATGCTTGTTTCTCCAGACTCTCGATCAGTAGTCCTTACTGACAAGCAGAGGAAGAATAGTTCTACTCCTACCGTAGTATACAGTACTTCTATGATGTCTCACTAATCATGCTATCGAATGGTCTTAGTATCGTCAAGACAGAAACCAAAAGCCCTGTTTTTCTAAGGACATACCGCATTTTTTGGACTATAAGATGCACCAATGTATAAGACGCACAAGGATTTCGAATAGGTAAGTAAGGAAAAAAAGTGTTTGCCTTCCCTCAGTCCCCAGCAGCACTCTGCAGGCTTCAGCATGGCTGGGGCAAGACAAAAATGCCCCCATTTTGGCAAACAAATGGGCCGTTTTGGGATGCAGGGGCGGGGCTTCGGGAGGCCAAAAATGGCTGTATTCAGTGTATAAGATGCATCAACATTTCCACGCTCTTTTAGTGGGGGAAAGGTGTATCTTATGCTCCAAAAATATGGTATATATGTTAATAGGGCGCCTCTTAAATTGATCAGTGAAGGTAAAATATATAAATGCAGTTGATAGTATCTATAAAATAACAAGAACAGCAAAAATGATAAAGTGGATAACAACTACTAAAAACTATTAAAAATTGAGTGGTGTTCTGATATTATGAGGAGCAGACTTTCACCAAGTCTGAACCATAGACATATACTCAAACAGTGTGAGAGAGTATTAAGTAATCCAAAGTGTTCTTTTTATTGCTGAGATTTGAGCTCAAATCTCTGAAGTCCAGGAAATGATCTGCTGAGCTTCTCCAGTCTTTTGCCTCACTGCATGAACCTACAAGGGCAGCTCTCTGGTCTCCTACTTAGCTTTCATGGACTTCTTCCCTATTTCAGGAAGGGAGGTATGTTCCACTAAATTAATTTTGTATACTGCTGCCAGTAAGAAAATATTTATTTAGTATTCAGATTGCAATTCCCAGGATTCACAACTGCATCCCTCACACTTCCAGAGAGCTGGGCTATATCATTCACCAGCAAATTAATACAAGGCAGCTATGTAAAACCTAGTTGGCATGCCACACATGTGATTGAGAAATACAAAACTGCATTATGAGTTTTCTGCATAATAATAGATGAAAATGGTGAATCAAAGAAGTTAATCTAATCCAGTTTGGAATATGTTCTATATAGAGAATAAGCCATATAAACATGTCTGTGCTATTCACATTCCACAATGCAAAATATTTCCCTTCCACTGAATCTTATACTTCCAGAAGGGGAGCAGGAGGGAGCTCTCCATTTATACCACATGGGTTGCTAAAGAAACAGCTTGTAGAGAACAGGCTGAAAAAATGTTTTAAGCAATAGAATAGCATTTTCTTGGCTAGTTTGACCATTAGCTGGCTATTGTCCAACATGGTAGTGTTGACTTTCTTGTCACAACTTTATAAGACAGCAATGCATACTGTGTTTCCCTGAAAATAAGTCAGGGTTTTATTTTCTTTTGACCCCCGAAATAAGCACTTGGCCTTATTTTCGTGGAGGTCTTATTATTTTTGAGGTGCAGGAGGTGGTGAGTGTGGTCACCTTATGGCTGCTGCTGTGTTGCAATATTTTCGGGGAGGGCTTATTTTAGCGCATGCACTCAAAAGCCCGATTGGGCTTATTATCTGGGGAGGGGTTATTTTCGGAGAAACAGGGTATATTACGATGTCTTATCAAAATCTAAGTCTCTTTCTGCACTCAGAAGAAATTGTATATGTTCTCTTACAAATGCCACAAAGCATTACTTTGTTCTACCTACAGCAAATGATCTCACAAAGAAACCAGAACCTGACCATAAGTGGCCCATCTGAATTAAATACCATTTTCCACTTTTATTCCAAACCTACTACCTTTATTGTAACAACTAGTCAAACCATGAGTGGGTTTTCTATAGGGAAAAATGGTTTTTTCCATGAGTGGAAAACTCTAAAACTTCTAAAACTGAAGCTCCCCATAACACTCCCCTAGATTTGCTGATGATTCAGTGCAGGTAACCTATAACTCCATCTTTTCTGTAATCACCAGAAATGAGGTTTGTGAGATCTGTTGGGGTTCTGTTTCAGGAGGGGTATTCAAAAGTATGTGTGTCTGCCACCCTTTGTTTGACATTTGAAAGAGGCTGGCTCCCTTTCAGGATTGCCTCTCAGGCTAGAGACTGCAAACTGCAATAGCTGAAGGACCAGTGGGTTAGATTTGGGGAATGACCTATGCACCAATAACCTATGCACCCAACCAGTGGTGATGAGGTAGGACTTGTGAAAATCCACCATACTTTTGTTTTCTTAATTGTCCCGAGCAGCCACTACCTGCCTCCTTGCAAACTTCGCTCCTCATTCTCTTCTTTAGATTTGTGTTCATGTTGGAGTTGGAAGCTGGGGATTTTTTCTCTGAGAACTTTTAGATAGGGCAACAATGGCTTGAATATTCCTCCATCGTGCCATTTCCACCGGATTAGGCGAAAGCTTAGTGGTTTGCCTTTCAGCTTCTGCAGTACTGAACCAGCCTGCAACGAACAGATACATGGATGATCAGCAAGGATCTCTTAACATCATCCACTAGATTAGTTATTCCCTGTCCTTGTAATAAATCTGGATCCAGGGAAAACTGATCTAAATGGACACTCTGGTTACTACTAGGATATGTCAGTGAAGTTTGTTAACTTATTGACTGGGTATTTTCCTAGTGATTAAAAACCATAGGAAATTAGCAGAAGTGGGTTCCTAGCGTTTCAGCCGAGTAGATAGTAACTTGGCCTGCCATGCCCCTGAACCAGGTCTCTCGGTGGCGCCATAGGCATTGCCATCTTGTTTTTTGCTTCTGCACATGCGCAGAACAAGTTTTTTTTTAGTATTGCACATGTGCGCAAAGCACACACAAGCAGCACGTCCCTGAACAAACCGGCAGTAGCAGCAGCCAGAACCCACCCCTGCACAGTATCTAAGCTGTTATCCTTGAGCATATAAGAGTCTTTTGCTAGCATATGTAGAATCTGTGTGGAGCCAAGCCCCGTGACCTTTTATAGCTAATGGGTGATATTGTCAACACACAGATTTTCTATGTGGCATTCAAAATCTTTTGGTATGGCACCTGTGTACCAATAACAGCTGGGATTACGATGGCCAGGTAATGGCCATAATATTTCAATTTAGATTTTCAGACTTTGATACTTTGTGATCTTCTCCAATTGGCGCATTTTAAAACATGCACCAAGGATTATTATTTTATCCCAGCTTTTTTCATATATAAATCAAGATGGAAAATATACTAATAGATCTGCCTTTCCCCCCTATAACAAGATGGGTTAGGCTGAGATTGACTGACTGGAGGTCATCCACTTGGCTTTCATAACTGAGAGGCCTAGCACCTTCAACACTGCATCAAAATGGCTCTGTAATACGGTATAATATGTGGATCGCTAACAGATTCTTCAGTAAAATGTTGTAGTGTGGAGTGCTTCAGTTCCTAATGCCTTCCATGAAGCTTATCCACATTTCTCAACTTCTCCTTTCCCCACCACTTTTCTTCCTTGGGATCTCTCAGCATTCTGGATTCATCCACTACATAACCTTGTTGGTCTGTTTTAGAGTGTCCTTCCCTGATAACAGTTTTTTTTTGTTTCTAAAGACTTTTGTTTTAAATACTTTTGCAAATAGTGCAGTCCCATTAAACTTATTGTTGCCTCTTTATAAAGTGGGAAGATGCTGTTTTCCCTACATATAGATATATTGAAAGAATTAAATTGGCTCTTAGTATAAAGATTACAATGAGTTGGGACCATCCTCTTAAGAAAAGCCTGCCTACACACACACACACAAGATCGGATGATTTTTTAAAATCTTCTCTTTCTTTAAAAAGTTCAAAGTATGACATGTTCTTTAGCCACACTTCATTTTAATTGTTATTTTTTATGTTTTGAAATGCTAAGGACCATTATTCCAAAGTGTTCTTTGGCTTTGACAGGTTCCCTCTCTCTTTTTCTCTATTTTTTTTTTACATACTGTATAAAACAGTCTTGGTCATCAGCATGCTGTGCCTGAGATAAGACTAGAAATAAATTGTCTGTTCTGAGGAAGATAGGGTAGACTGAATAGTCATTGCACATCTGATACTAAGCATTGCTATTCCAAGTAAGCCACCCATTCATTCTTCTTCATGATCTCCATGCAACAGACCTTGTAAGTTTGTATTTGAACATTCTATGTTGATTCCCACAGAAGGTCATCTCCTGGAGGGGTAATATGGATGGGGAGGAGATGGGGAAGTATGCTAATAGTGGGGTACAGTCTTTAAATAAACCAGTGATATCCAAAGTTTACATTACTGAAATCTTAAATAATAAGTAGAAATCTCATAAATATTAAAAAGATTTTAAAAACCAGATACGTTTCTACATCCCTCCTGCCTTGATTTTTCATCTTGATCTCCAGGTCAAACCCAAGAGTTTTTGTTCAGTACAGTTCCCATAGCAACAATGCACAGCCATCTCGTCCATTTCTTTTCAGGTCAAGATAATAGACGATACATCAACTTTCCCTCCTCCATCTCCAGGGATCTGGATGTTCCTCCCTCCCATACCTGTCCATTGCAAGCATTCCTCAATGAAGCTCCATTTATCTCATCAATGACATCTCCAACTAGTACTACCTCATCCACCTCTGCTTGGCTCTTTGGAAGCACTTCTATTATGAAAATCCGTCCATTTAAATACCTGATATAAAAAAGAAGAAGAAAAAAGAATTATCCTTGAAGAATTGAATTATTAGAGACTCAAACAAAAGAAAGTAATGAAGAAAATAATGAGGTTGGGTACAGCAGATTAGGAAAATAATACACTGATTAGTCACAATTCAAACACATATAACAGCAATAGCACTTAGATTTATATACCTCTTCACAGTGCTTCAGAGGCTCTCTCTAAGCAGTTTACAGAGTCAGTCTATTGCCCCCAACAATCTGGGTCCTCATTTTACTGACCTCAGAAGGATGGAAGGCTGAGTCAAACTTGAGCTGGTGAGATTCGAACTGCCGAACTGCTGGCAATCGGCAGTCAGCAGAATTAGTCTGCAGTACTGCATTCTAATCGCTGTGCCACCATGGCCCCTAAGAGACCAAGGGAGTTCCACCTAGAGGCCAATGATGCAGGTGGCCCAGCAACATACAAAGTCTTATCCTTCTTCCAAACTTGAATACTTTGGTAAACTGAAGCTTGTTACAAAATGTTGGTAAGAGAGTAAAAACCAAACCAGACCAAAAATGCCTGTGTATCAACAAGAGTTAGTGGACACGTGGCTGAGAAACCAGATCTTGTAGAGGCAGTTTTTTGTTTGAATGGTTTAGATCAGGGGTCTCCAACCTTGGCAACTTTAAGCCTGGAGGACTTCAACTCCCAGAATGCTTTGCTGGCTGGGAAATTCTGGGAGTTGATTTCTGCCAGGCTTAAAGTTGCCATGGTTGGAGACCCCTGGTTTAGATTACATTCCCATTTGTACTGGTCAGTAAAGCTAATGCTAAGGCATGGTGGAAGTTGTATAACAAAACACCCTGAAACTGGTTACATATTGTACTGGAAATTAACTTGAGATGAAGCTCTGATGTTAAAAAAATTTTTAGGAAAAGGAACGGAAATTTGATACGATAAAAGTACTGAATTAATTGAAGAGGCCCCAGTTCAAATGACTAGCTTCTTGGGAGCACTTGCCATTGGAGATGCATTAGGTTGAAACACTGCAAAGAGGTTCAGTTTTTGTTAAGATATAAACATATACTGGAAATAGTTAAAAATACTATAGCATTAATTTTGAGCAGAGAAGCAATACTTTGAAAGTAAATGTTTTCCTGTCCATAATTTTGTTTAGCTCATCCACCACTAAGTTCAAAATACCACATGTAAAGTTATATTGGACAGGTGTCAGAATTTGGAGGAGGTAATTTATACACAGAAAACATGTTCTTCTTTCTAATAAGAAAATGCTAAACAATGTACAGTGGTTTAATGATATGCCACTATTAACAGAAACAGGGTATCTATTCTTGATTTACTGATGGATGCGGAGTTTAATATCTTTGGTCTATATACAAGGAACTCATTAACGTAAACTTGATTCTTTGAACTCATAATAGACAAGCCAATATGGTAGTACCTGGCCCAATTATATCCACCTGAGAAAGTATTTCAGCTGATTGCTGAATTGCTTTGTCAGATTGCTTTGACTTAATGTTTTGTAAACCATGGTTTATTATGACTTATTGTTGTATGTGAACCCAGTTACTGTGCTTTATTCAATAAACCACAATTAAAAATCATAGCTTGGCATGATCTATGAATCCAGCAATTGTTTTATTGATTGGATCTTAATGGCTGCTAAAACCAAGGATCAGAATGCCATATATGAAAGGGTCAAATCTCTTACCTCAGCACCATTCCCAATTCCCGGCAAGGGACAGTTTCATAAGTCTGGCATACCTGGAAAGCATGATTTGTCATTAGAACTTCTAGCATATTTGAAGGAATTCTCCTTCATCAAGCTTTCATCATTGACAAAAAAAATAGGACATTTTGCTTCCAATCGGGCCTCTAAATACTACCACTCTTATGTAGCTTCCATTAGATGGGATGAAGTGCCATATGAAGGTGGCAAGTCAGTCAGTCAGTCAGTCAGTCAGTCAGTCAGTCAGTCAGTCAGTCTGTCTGTCTGTCTGTCTGTCTG